GAGGAATATGTCACTATCGTCTTCAGGGACGAAGAATAAGCCAAGCAAGACACCAGCGAAAAGCAGGTAGCAAGCAGGAGCTGAAGATGGAGGCGACGTGTGCCCCCGAAAAGTCGGTTGACTTTCAGCGGACTACACGGCGTTATATCCCAGAAGAGGGAAATCTTCATAATCACCTCAAATCTTGCTTTGCGTTGTTCTGTTGCGCATGAGGATAAAATTAATTTTAGTTAAAGGATTACTATTGGCCGTGCCATAGCTCAGGCGTTTTTTTTATTGCTAGTGGGGTGGGACTAAGTCCCTTGCATTGCGGCTACTTCTGGCCTATTGTACCAGCCCCAGATGATAGGTGAGGGTGATTGTGGAGCAATTGGTGGAATGAAGATTGGCAGGGGAAACCGAAGTACTCTGAGAAAACCTGCCCCAGCGCCACTTTGTCCACCACAAATCCCACTTGACCAGTCCCGGGATCGAACCCGGGCCGCCGAGGTGGGAAGCCAGCGATTAACCACTTGAGCTATGGCGCGTCCTAGCTCAGGCGGTTAGTCGCCATATTCACACCGCGGTTGTCAGGGTTCGAGCCCAAGTCAGCTCATGCAGGATTTGTGGTAAACATAGTGGCACTGGGGCAGGTTTTCTCCGATTACTTCTGTTTCTCCTGCCAATTCTTATTCCACAAAATACTCCATACTCATCTATCATCAGGGGCTGGTACAATAGGCCCGTAGTGGCCAACGTACCAAGTGGACTCAGTCTCACCCCACCCCAAGAAACTAAAAAACGAAAACTATACCGACAGATTAGTTGGCAAATACTTGTTGTGTGTTTGTGACGCGACAATATTAGTGTGGATGATCGTTTTGAATTCTTGTAAACGAGTATGCTGACCATTAATCCCCCTCGGTTTAGTTATTGGAGGGTTAGGGCCTCAGTCCTTAACATTGCATCTACTCTCGAGAAAAGACACGCATGGGAGCTCAGAGCTGCGCAGCTTTCAATGTAATGACATCGGATCTGCTGATGATGAGAATAAGATCATTTTCAGAAACGTACCTCAGACAGTGAACTGTGTCTAACGTGTTCAAGCAGTACAGAAAATAACCTTAAGCCCTATAGTGAACTGTAACAAACCCAACCTCCTCTCGTGACAGTTTTCATTAAAGCTATAAAAGCCTAATCGAACAGTTTGACTAATGAATTATAGGAACGATGTTTCAGAGCCCTAACTTCAGTCTCCATGCGTACAGCTTATCTCGTGCCATACATGCCTGGATATTAGCACCGCTGGCGCAGAAGCGACAAGTCTGTTGCGGCGGTAAAGCAAACAACTAAAACCCACGGCCTGGAGGAAATGAGGAACGTATATAGTGTAAATAGACCACATGACTAAAATCTCGCAATTTATAAGTTTACTCGCCTGGAAAACCTGTCGTAGCGGTTACTAAATCCGATCTGTAATTGGAACTTCGCAAATAAATTCGAATGTCGGTTGTCAGGAGATAATTCCACGGTTAAGTTCGTCCTATGCTCTTGTTTTATACGGAAATATATGTCCGATTATTGTGTGTCTGTCTGCCTTTAACATCTGGAAGAAATGGCGGATCTTCATGAAACTTGGTATGAACGTCTTGTCACTGAAGGTCAAAACAATTTTTTTTCTGAATTCTTACCATCAGTTCCGGAAAATTAAAAACATAAATGAATCATTAGTTTACTTCAAACGTGACGCTGAAAGCACTGTACAATATTGTGACATGACGGCCGAAACAGGAACAGGGGGAAAGAGGGCCATTGATAGAAAACGGCGTGGTAAATTCGTTTCCGCTGCAACGAATCAACACAAATAGAGGAACTGTTGGCAGCGGTGTTTTCTATGCGGTCCGTGCCGAGGCTACATAACGAGGACCAACGGGAAAAATTGCCTTGCTAGTCGTAGGAGGCGAAGAAAAGGGAACCCAGTGCTTGGGAGTATAACTGGACCATCCTGTTCCTGTGGGATATAAGTATGGGGACCTGACCCTCCAGGCTGGGGGAGCCTCGGATCTGAGACAGCACTATATGGTCATGGGTCTCGCGGGACTCGGACCCGAGAATGATTGCGCTGGCGAGGGCCAGCAGCAATTGTAAACCACAGACCTGTCCTCTCGTCAGAGAGGATGCCTCACATCAACAAGCCCGCAATCGGCTGACAGTAATAAAAATCTGGTCTTGTGCACCAGATTGGTGCTTGACACCAAGGGAGACTGGCCGGCTGACCATCGGTCGTAACATAAAATTGACTTTGAAGTTTAAGTTGCATTGTTATCAGCCACTACCTGACAACGACTGGTAACGATCGAGTGACAAACAGGAGGCTTTAATTTTGCTATAGTTGTGGAGACCTATACAGTGTGTAATTTACTGAGACTCTTAATAGTTATTCGTAATTACGAGTTATAAGCTTTCAGTAAATCCAGTTATCAGTTCAAACCCAGGATTTATTCACTAACATGTGCCAGTATGACTGGTGTAATCCTAATGAACTTTCCCTCCTATGCATATAGTTGGCTTTCATTTTTTCTGATCAGTAATAATTTTGTCATGACTTTAGCATGACTGCTCTGTCCCTCTGTCTATCTATCTATCTATCTATCTATCTATCTGTCTGTCTGTCTGTCTGTCTGTCTGTCCATCCATCCATCTATCTATATGTGGCTCTACAGTCCTCTGTTGGACGTTAGCCATTTTTTTTTTCAGTTTCTTAATTGTATACACAGTCGGTAAAACTCCTTGGACGGGGGATCAGCTCGTCCAAAACCAAAAGCCGCTACCTACACATAGAACAACACGAACAGAATAAATACACACAGACATCCATGTCTTGAGTGGGATTCGAACTCACGACCCCAGCGTTCTAGCGAGCGTAGACTGTTCATGCCTTAGGCGGCCCACACACGGACGAGTTTGGCTCATTGGAACCCGAGCCGAATCGAGTCGGACTCGCGAGCCCTTAGACCACGCGGCCACTGCGATGGGCTACTACCTAACATAAATGAGCATACTAAGGAGATGCGATCTGTTTCTGATATGAGAAGTCCAAATTATTTAAGTAACAGTGGATGAAATTTGTTGTTTTCTTATCTCAACGCACGCAGCCACATAAGAAAGACACACCATAAGACACAGTATATACACAATCAAAACATAAGAAGAACGACTCCCATAGCGAATGGATGGCGTTACACACGAGTTTGATATGCGACATGTAAGATGATAGATATTAACAAGTTTTAATATATAAATTTTAGTATTGAACAACGACGAACACATTTTATATAATTTTATAAATGGACACTTGATGGCAGGCAGTGCAATGGTTTAACGTGATTAATACACCTGATGCTGAAGCATGTAGTGTGAAGTGACAAGTGAAATTGTATGCACTAAAAGACGGTTAATATATACACATTATGGATCCTTAAAGGTATATAGAAGGAGCTGTTCCCTATTATCTTCTGAATGTTTGGCATTTTTTTTTTTTTATTATGCGCGGTTGGAAGAATACAACATTGCTTCTAATGAACGCGTACATTACTTCGACCTCAGAGATCCTGTTGGAAAGGAAACGACTTCTAAACGTTTGATCGACGTCTCCATTATTGCTTCTGCTGTCTGCTTTCCCACACCCACGACCCTCACAAGGGCGCGATTCACTTAGGGCCCGTAATCAATTGCCTATTGTCCGACAACAGCCTTATTGGTTGTACAAGCAATTCAGATGGCTGTAGCCACCATCCTTCACTGTCAACACGTGTCCTACAGTAAGAAGGACTAGGCGTATTGACACAAAGACCGCGCGCTCAGTGCTCGGCACTGCACTTACTGGCCGGCACTTTATCCTGTGGAAACAACTGGTCCCTCCATCCAGCTGGTGCAGCATTTCGAAGGGAACGGTTGAGTTGCTGTTACCAGGAGCAACTTTAGTAGCGCTAGCGGGCCAATCACAGCGGCCGGTTGGTCTAAGGCACGAACAGTCTTCGCCCGCTCGAACACTGGAATCGTGGGTTCGAATGTCACTAGAGGCGTGAATGTTTATATGCCTTTATTCTGTCTTTATGTTGTTCTGTGTGTAGGTAGCGGCCTTGCGACGGGCTGATCCCCCTTCCAAGGACTCCTACCGACTGTGTATAAGATTAAGAAACTGGAGAAGCGGACAAAGTCCAACAAAGGGCTGTAGAGCCACAGATACAGAAATTGTAGCATTGCTACTTAATGTAATGAAAGTCTCCACACTGTGCTGGTGAGCCAGGATAGCTCAATCGGTATAGCCGTGGGCTAGACGACCGGGCCCACTCAACCGCCTATCCGATGGGTACCGGGGGCTGTAAGGAGCCGGGACAGAGTAGTCGTTAATAGCGACTGGCTACGGGCTGGAAGACCGATAGGTCAAGAGATCGAATTCCAGTAGGGTAAAGAATTTTCACTTCACCATATCGTCCAAACTGGCTCTAGGGTCCACCCAACCTCCTATACAATGGGTATGGGGGGAATTCTTTCATGGGCTTAAAGCGGCCGGGGCGTGAAACTGACCACTCACCTCCAACTAGTGCGAGGTCAAGAAAATATGAATCTATGCATCCACTCCCCCATACGCCTTTATGGCGTAATGCTTAATTAGTTAAGCACAGGGACAACTTTTACCGGGTTCTGTTTCTCCTCGGGAGTGAGGCGGAAGGGGGGTTAAGTTGACCACTCATCTCCATCTATTGCCGAGATGAAGAATTGTGGAGTTATACCTCCACTCCCCTTACGTCTTCTTGGCGTGATGCTTCATTAATTAAGCACAGAGACAACTTTACTTTTTTACACACTGTGCTGTGGAAGAACTATTAAGTAGACGCATGTGAATTGAAACCGCTTTAATGAATTTGTGGAAGAGAAATGTCCGTTTCTCTCATTTTGTCGTTCCAGATTCGCCGTCGAAACTTCATTAGTAACCTCATGAACCTCTTCTGTTTCAGAATGGAAGAGACGGTGCGAGCCATGCTGCAGTACAAGGCTCACAGTGAGCAATTGAAACAAGAGAAAACCAACCTCACCGTCGCTTACGAGGTGAGTCAGCACTTAACGTGTGGAGGACTCTCTCCTCCCTGCCCCCAAAAGTGGTCACTCTGGCTCTTCTAATTTCGCCCCCAAGGCGGGAACAAAATGGGAGATATCTTCTCAACTGGAATTCATATTCTTTATATTCCCGAATCACTCCGTTCGTTACTAAGCCAACTTGGGATGATCACGTACGCTACGAGCTGGTGCCCAGTGCGCAGTAACAAGAAGGCATGGAAAGCATTACTGTGTGTTCCCTTCACAGAGATGGGGAAAGTCCGACCTGTCACCATAACTCTTCCGTCGGATAGAACGTTGGGTTCGAGCGGATAGCACTCGTATTTTGGAGGTTCGGGGTTCTGATCTTGGCCTGGAGACCGGTTTTTGTTAGTTTTTCTCATACTCTCCAGACAAATTCCAGCCTAGTACTTCAAATTAGATCATGGTCGTTTCTTCCACGTTCTTTCCAATTAATTATTCATTAATTGGCGTACCATTCGAAGCTACATAGTCTCAGCTACCGATAACATGATCACATATCTACATATGGCTCTACAGCCCTTTGTTGGGCCCTGACCGCTTTTCAGTTTCTTAGTCTTATACACAGTCGGTAGGACTCCTTTGACGGGGGATCAGCCCGTCGCAAGGCTGTAACATTAAATTCTCCATGAGTCACTGACCATATCAGTAATGACTTACACTAGTCCCGCCTGGGAATTAGGGGAAGACACCTACCTATTAAAATTGCAGTGCCTACAAAACAAGGTTCTCCACACCATTGGAAATTTTCCAAGGTGCACACAGATCAGCGATTTGCTCACGGCTTTCAACCTTCCTGATGTATACGATTATATGACAAAATTGTGCAGGCAGCAACAAGCAGAAGTCACACAAGACCATGAGAATTAACATATTCACGGAATAGGACAAGACGAAGTCAGACGTAGAAGATACAAGAGGCTTGAACTTGGCGGGAGTCAAGCTTATGACCGTTCAAGTGACTAAGCTGCATGTGTAGTATAGCATACGTAAGATAGGCTTTGCAAAGCCTGGATTGACAGAGAACTTGTATATAGCGCACAAGGAAGAATTTTGAATAAGGTGCTGCATGCGCGGTACGCACACTAGACCATAGGCCAAGCATGTTCGTAAGAGACTAACCCATCTTCTCGTGAGAGAGGATCTTGCATAAGGACTATTGCCGCAAGGGTTCCGTTGAAAAAATCTCTAGTCGTGGGTCTCAAGGTCTTATTCGCCCGCCTACTTTTGTACCTGTAACCGTCAAAGAAGCTCGGAGATACTTTGCTGCAACTGCAACTGGCAACGCGCCTGGCCAGCACGTGACTGTTTCGAGGCGGGGAGACATGGACCCCGATACGAGGGTACATCAAATCCTGGATTTAGTATGAAAACAGAAATGACAGCCGCGGGCTGCATTTTGCCCATATCTGCTCCTTGCTCATACTCCACTTCCCTTGAGGCGTGCAGCCCAAGTATTTTCACTGCACCGTTCTCAAGCTGAATGATCGCCTCTTATTTGGCACTTGGCTGGGATCAGGGTAAAGAAGATTAGTTTCAGGTATAAATTCTCCATAGATAAAACCGGTTCTCAGCAATTTTTCTTAGAACTCCGTATATGAATACGGCGTTCTTTCCCGCCTCAGACCTGATGCCAAAGTAACGGTTACTGCCTTTTTTTTCTTAAGATCACCAGTCACTAAGGACACTTACCTGTAATTGTCCTGAGGTGCATTTCTATTGAATTTCTCTTATATATGTACGAGTATATTGCAAAGCCGATCAAAGTGGCCGCGCGGTCTAAGGCATGAACAGTCTTCGCCCGCTCAAACACTGGGATCGTGGGTTCGAATCCCACTCGAGGCATGTATGCTGTGTGCCTTTATCCTGTGTAGGTAGCGGCCTTGCAATGGGCTGATCCCGCGTCCAAGGTGTCATACCGACTGTGTAAAAGATAAGAATCTGAAAAGCGGCCAAGATCCAAGGAAGGGCTGTAGAGCCATGAATGGATGGACGGACGGACAGACAGACATATATATTGCAAAGTTATAGAATAGCCATTTTGAGGAACATACTGCTTCCATTTTCAAGGTAGTTTACCACCCAATATCAACAATGACTAGGCACTTGAAGTGAATATTAGTTTCACGCAGTAGTTCACATTATCTATGTACGAAATTCGATATATCAATCTCACTTCAACAAGTTTAACTATAATTTTTATATTTCAAAATTACGTTCAGGAAGGAATAAAGACAGGTTAAGTCTGGCGTATTCTTGCTGTTATTCGGTTAAGAAACTTCTTGTTTTTGCCCCTTGTCGAAAGATATAAAGATTAAAATACAGGTCTGTGCATATGACTACATATAATTTACTCGTTGTTTTGTATGTGCGTGAAACTCGGTCTCTCACGTTAAGGGAAAACTTAGATCGATGGTACTTGAGAAGCGGAGGCTAAGGGGAGTGTTTGGACCTATGAGGGAGAAAATAACAGGAAGCTTGAAGGAATTACATAATGACGAGTTTCAAAATTTGCAATCTTCTTAAGATAGTATTACGGTAATCAGATCAAGGAGATAGAGATGGACAGAAATATAGCACGCGTGGGGAATATGAATAATGCATCATTTTATTTGGAAGGCTTGCAGAGAAGATGTCACTAGCGAGACCAGACTTGCACGGGAAGATAATATTCGAATGGATCTTAAAATAACTAGATGTGGAAGGTCGGCCGGATTCATCTGGCTAAAGTTGGGGACCGGTATCGGGTTCTTATGAACCTTGAATTACATGAGGCAGGGAATTTTTTTCACTAGCCGGATGACCCTTCTTAAAGTTTAAGTTATCTCTCACTCTTTAGGTTTCTAGATTAAAAAATTCCCGCATTTGTAATTTCTAGCAGCGCTGATGTACATCGCGAAATCTGCAGTAAAATGTATCTGGCAAGGAAGTGGTACAGCACACACACAAAAGCACAAATTATTTCCGTTATCCTCTGAAGAGGTAGAGGAAAACGTGAGCTGAGTTATCGGCCCCATGGGTGCAAGGTTAGGTTGACCCCCTGAGGTTTGAAATACGAAAATAAATCTCCTTAAATGGCCCAAAGTAACAGAACATAAATGGAGGTTGCAGGGACACATATAGCATTTGGGTCTACAAGTCCTAAACAATAGCTCGACAAAAATTATCCAAAAAAGAATTGGCACTGAACGGATCCAACTTGAGCAAAGTCGGTGTGTCTAGCACTGGTAAACTTGGCCTCTCATTTCTGTCACTGTGTCACCATAGTTAACTAGCATTTATTGTTAAAGAGACGTTATCTGTTGATAAATTGAGTTTTTCTCATTGGTCACGAAAAGCCAAATAAATTAAGACCAAATATCCGGTATCCGAACTGAGACTCAAACCCAGTACTTCCCGGGTACGAAGCAGGAATGCTGACCACTCTACTTGTACTACACTGTGATGCCACGAAACGTAGGGATAACCTGCAATATATTTCATTATTTGAACTCCAGATTCGAGATTAAAATGAATGCTGTGCTTTTAAACTGGCGCATCGTGACCCATTTCAACATACTCGTACTATACCGGCATTCGCCTGGAGAGACGTGGGAAAACTCTACTGGATTTCCAGTAATCGTCTATGATTCGAAACGGCTTACCTTCCGAATATTCTACACCCACCGTGCTGAACGCCACTCAAGGAGAACGTGTGAAAAGAGGTGTCTCTTATTGATATGTGCAGATAAGTCCCCCCTCCCCCTATATGCTACCGTAAACCCTGGCGGAAGGGTCGGAGTGTCCGCAGTTCGTGTCACGGTTACGTAATCCAGAAAACACACTGTGTAGTGCATGTGTACCTGTTGTAGTTTATGTGGCCCTGTACTCTGGTGGGGTGCATTTGCCAGGGAAGGGGCTGTTGGTGCTGTAGGGAGTTGTAAATCATGCCCCGGGTGTGCCTCACATCTTGTTAATTTATAACAAGTGCGCCCTCCATATAACGAAGGACGAGATCCAGCGATGTAATATGTTAACCCTCTGATGAACATGGCCGTGTTTATATAGGCTTGTGTACGGCTGGCCGTGAGATGCGCAGACACGCCACTCGCATCAGTATGCGGTGTTTTAAATGCAAATATGTTTAGAACTTTCTTCAAAACGCCAGTATAAGTATACAGTAGTTGATTTTATCAGATTGACCAACGCCAAGCTGTAAACAAACAGATTAATCTACAGGGACAGTACTGAACAAAAAGAAAATAACAGGCTGCTACTTCTAGTTCTCCTACACCTCCTTTTGCGCCGATTTCTTTTGTTATCTCATTTTCTTTTCTTTTCCCCTCTTGTTCACCGACGTATACCTTCCGTCTGTTTTCCTTTTCAGTTTCCCCTTCTTCTATCTTTCGTTATTTCTTTTTCTTTTTATCATATTTCTTTCTTCTTTCCTTCCCTTTCGACTTGTTCCTTTTCTTCCTCTCATCTGCAAGCACTAGACACCAGGTCAGGTCAGCTGTCGCCCCTTCTGACGCAGCACAGCTGGATGAACTACATAAATATTAGGTTCACAATTTCTTCTTTTATATTAATAATGCGAAATCAAGAAGAAATAGCTGGGCCGAGCATGAAGCACGTCTGGATAGCAGAAATGCATACATAATTGTAGTTGGAAAAAGTAAAAGAAATTAGCAGAAGACAAAGGGGTATGGTGAAAGTAAAGTTGCCCCTGTGCTTAATTAATTAATTACCTCGCCATAAAGACGTTTGGGGGAGTGGAGGTATAGCTCCATCATTCTTGATCTCAGCCCTAAATGGAGATGAGTTGTCTGCTTCACTTCCCTGTCCCTTTACCCCCAAGAAAAGAGCCCACGGTACCCATTGGATAGATGGCTAGGTGAGCTCTAAATACGGTCTGGACGCCGTGGAGCAGAGAAAAATATCTTGCCCCTGCCGGAAATCGAACCCCGGCCATCCAAACCTGAGTCCATCAC